GAGAGGAAGAGAAGAAGAGGAAAAGGAGGAGGAGAGGAAGAGGAAGAAGAAGGAGGAGAAGAAGAGGAAGAATAAGAAGGAGGATGAGGAGGGGGAGGAAGAAGAAAAGAAGAGGAAAAGGAAGAAGGAGGAGGAAGGGGGAGGAGGAGGAGGAGAGGAAGAGAAAAAGAGGAAGAAGAAGGAGGAGAGGAAGAAGAGGAAGAAGAAGAAAAGAGGAAGATGAAAAGGGTGAACCAGGGCATTGGTGGCAGCGTCGCCAATGGGTAACGCCTCCCGCATTTGGGGGGTGACCCCAAAACTCAAGGTCTTTTGGGTGGGTGGGAGTCTGCAGGGTACAGTCGAAAAAGGCAAGATGGCTGCCACCACAAGTGGGCAGGTAGTTCTCATTGTTAATCGAAGGGCTGTTGTAACCTCAAACAGCCACTAAACGAACTATTGTAAGTCGAGGACAACCTGTAATGCTGGCCCGCATGGGCGTTATGTGCAAACACGACTGCTCGAGCTTTCGCTGATGTGGGTTGTGTGAACCCAGCCAGGAGGGGACCCCACTTTCCCTCTCATCTCCCCATCCCCATGGTCCACCCCCCTAAAAGAGAGAGAGAGAGGGAGGCTTACGTGGCAGCATGTGGGGGCTGATCAATAAATTGGGGATGAACTGCTCAATGGGGGCTGCGGGACAGCCCCCCTCGGGTAAGGGCTGCAGGGTCCCTGGCACGGCCATGCTCTCGGGCATCAGTGGCATCCGGCTTGCAGATTCGGCAAAGTTGGGCACCGGAGGCTCTGCTCCTACCGGGAAGGCCCCTACGGGGACATGGGCCGGGGGTCCAGGCCCCACCTCCGGGGGAGCCAAGTGGGGGAAGTTCCCATTAGCGCATGAGTTGGTGTAGAGGGTTTCTTGCTTAAGCCACGGGTAGGGGGGCAGGGGCTCTGCGACGTGCGACGGATCTGGAATGAGAGAACCTGTTAGAAATTCTGTTCATATGTAGCACCCCAGAACCAACAAGAGCACAGTCACCATGTGCTTTACTGCTCAGCTATTTCACAGAAAATAGGAAACTACTTAGAATGAAAGAGCATAGAGTATATACCATAGATACAAACCTGTAAACCCTGTCATCTACTAGTTGAATACTTCTGTAGTTGTTGTATAGAAATAGATTCTAACAATGAATTCCAACAAACTGGGCACTGTAGAAAGCAACCCAGGAAACCTGATCAAAATGGAAGGAAAGCCACAATGTGGTTTTCGTGTGGGGAAGGGATGTGAAGGCAGCTGTCTTTTCTGCGTGATTTCTATCCCACCTTTATTACTGTACAAGGAACTCAACACACACAAGTCTCTCAACTCCGCCTCTTGTTTTCCCCACAACAACCCTGTGAGGTGGGCTCAGCTGAGAGAAAGGGACTGGCTGAAATCACCTAACTGGTTTTCACACGTAAGGCGGGACTAGAATTCACCATTTCCTGGTGATTGGCCTAAAGTCACCCAGTCGGCTTTCATGCTAAGGCGGAACTAGGACTCACTGTTTCCTGGTGAATTGAGTCACCCAGTTGTCTTTGGCGCTTAAGGCGGGACTAGAACTCACCGTCACCTAGTTTCTGAGCCAGCACCTTAACCACTACATGAAACCGGCTCTTCTTTAGAAAGAAGTTGGAGCCCCTGCCGAGCAGGAAACGTATGAAACAATCCTCCCCTCCCCTTCCCTCCAGGCCTGCCCCCCCCCACTTCTTCTTCTGCCAAGAACCCACCTGCAATCCTTAAGGTGGGCATCATTTTCTGGAGCTGCAATCAAAGGGATAAAAATTAGTGAGCTAGGTCAATTAATTCTATTCTATTCTCTCTCTCTTCCCGCTCTCTTCTCTTCTTTATATCTATATCTATCTATCTATCTATCTATCTATCTATCTATCTATCTATCTCTCTATCTATC